GTAAAATTAGATGTGAAGAAATTTGATTGAAAGAATAATTTAAGATTGTATTATTTAAAGATAAAAGAATTGATTTTGAAAGCAGAATTGCATAAGATGAAAAAATTACTTGTGCAATAAGGATTGTATAAGGTATTAGAAAAAAAGTCTTTAGAAAAGACTAAAAATGAATGGGAGAAAATCAATTTTAATAGTTGTAAGTACAATTTGTATAGGCCTTGTAGATGAGATGTTGTGCAATGTCATGAATAAGAGCATAGCACCTAAATTATGGACAAAATTAAAAAAGTATTATATAACAAAGTTCCTTATAAATTAATAGTATCTAAAGCTACAATTATATATCTTGCAAATAAAGAAGAATACCAATATATTGAATCTATTAAATAGAGGAGATTGATAAAGCTTTATTGCTATTAATTTTATTGCTTCTTTTATTTGAATATTTTATCACTATATTATTGTATAAAAAAATACCATTAAATTAGAAGAAATTATTGTACCTTTCTTATCATATAAGATAAGAAATGTCTTAGTAGTAAAGCATCAAAATCACAAATTTTATTTATAAGCAGTATGATCATATGCAAAGAATAGAGTAGAAGTGAATCTAGATCAAAATCTAGATCTAAGTTTGATAAATCCAATATTAGGTGTTTTGAATATAAAAATTTGGGACACCACAAAAAAAATATATAAGATTTTTTTTTTAAATAGAATCAAATGCTCGTCTTTTGAATAATCAAGTAATATTAATTGTTATAGAAATTTTTTTTTCTTTTTTTTATTATTATTTTTTTTATCATTACCACTAAAAATTATAGATTTCAAGATGCATAGATTTTTACTATATGCATCAAGATGTTTGATAGAACCATAAAAATATTGGTTGATATTAGACATATTTTTAAACTGAAGAAGGATCTAATTTTTCTAAGAGCATTAGGTTTTATTGGTTGCAATTGTAATTGAAAAAGATAAGAATCTTAAAAGCTATTAAAGAAGTTTTAGTCGTAATAAACAACAAGAGAATTGAAAACTTATACAAGATTTTAAGATATATTGTTAGAAGTACAGAAACTATTGAATCTTCTTAGAAAAAAAAATGTATTAAATATTATTCAATTGTCGCATGTCTAAATACTATTTGAAAGAAATCCAAAAAATATGATCTCCTTATAATTATGCAAGTGTATTATGAATTAAAATAAGTTTCTACTAGTATCATTGACATATATATTTAGTCATATAATTACTTAGATAACATGAATAGATAGAAGTAAATAAAAGTAGATAAGTTTGATAATATCTTATAGAGAAGCTTCTTAGAAGCTATATAGATGCAACTTTTCTTTTATATGTGTCTATTAGTAATTAGTAGATTGAAAATTTGGCCAAAAAATTAGCCACATATTGCACATATTGGACACTTGTGGTATAAGTTGGACATGTAATGTACATATATGAAGCTTGTATTGCAAGTTAGATACATATTGAAGGTTCTATAGAATATTATTATATAGCTCCTAGTTAGATAGTATATATAGAAATAAGTATAAAATCTTCTTCACTTTGTCAATTTTTTTCTTGATTTTAGTCTCATTTTAAGTGTCTCTAACTTCTCTAATCTTTTGTGATTTTTTTTAAATGTAAAAACTTTATTATTTATTATCTATCTTTGATACATATCTTACTCTTCAAATCCTTATCCTTGATAAATTGATAGGAGTATACTTAAAATATGAGAGTTTTGGCTTTTTTTTTAATTAAAAGTAGATTATTATTTTTTCTTAATAAGATTCAAGTACATTAAAAGTTGTAAATTATCCATGACTAAGTTGATATTGTTTTTAGAATTTTTTTTGTTTTCAAGTCTTCTCTTCTATTTTTCTTAAATAATATCAGATATCTTTTTTTCTATTGTATTATCATAATAGAGCTTGTTAAAATGAAGAATACAATGGCACAAATACAAAAGCAAATGAGAGAGTTAATGCTTGCAATGTATTAATTCAATTTATGACCACAAAGAATAAAAAGATTAATTAGAAACAAAGATATTGTGATAATTAGAGCTACTTCAACATCTATCCAAAATAATGTTATTTCTCCTATAGTAGAATATTGTTCAAGTATTAAAGAATCAAAAGTTATCTTCTTTAAGAAGTTTGATGGCACAAGATCAAAGTTTTCAAAATTCATCAATAAGTTTAAATCAATTATTAAAATTCAACTTCAAAGTTATCTAATTTTAGGATTATTAGTCAAGTTTATAAAAATACTATTTTTGAATTATATTTTATTATAGTTTTATATTTTTTTTAATGATATGATCTAATTTTAGATAATTTTGAGGCTTTTTTGGCCAAATTTTGATCCATGTAAGAAAAACATGATATAATTCTTATTCCAACCTATAAGATTTGAAATTTCTAATAATATAAACAATCAATAAAAGTATATTCTTTATAATTTTGATAACTTGCGACTAATATCAAGTCAAATGATGTTGCATAATTAATTTTTCATGAATTATAATATGAAGTGAAAAAATTGATGCTAAATTTATATGATTCTTAAACATTCAATCAAGCAATTGACTTTGTTGTAAAGAATGACAATTGGTATAAGATAGAATAAATTCCCAATAATTAGTAGTTTATTCTAATTCATTCAAGAACTTAATCTAATTAATTGTAATAATTACTTATATTATAATTTAACATTCTAACCTAAGTTTATCCAAATTTAAAATTCATTTAATTCTAAACTTCATCAAAGCTACACTTACTTCTATTCCAAATCTTAATATTATCTATCTTAATCGTCATTAATCTGAATCAATCTCTTATATAAATATATTCTTGAGAATGGATTTTAATTTGATATAGATGTTCACTCGAATGACTCCTTCTTGTAGTAGTGGAGCCTCTCTAATATAAAAATTCTTCTAATCTAGCTCATTTTTGAGGGAGCATAGACAAGTTATAATCCATTGTATTTGAAAATCAATATGTAATCTTTTCACAAGTTATAATCCATTGTATTTGAAAATCAATATGTAATCTTTATCTTTAAACATGTCTAAAGGTGATTGATAGGTTAAAAACTTGGCAAATAAATAGCCATGTATCATATATGTTAATAGCTTGTGAAACAAGCTAATTACGTGGCACACATATATGAAACTTGTCTTGCAAGTTAGACACATCTCTTGCAAATTGAACACGTATTAGAGGTCCTATAGAATGTCGCCATGTAGCTCTTATGTAGATAGTATATATGAAGGCAAGAGTGAAGCCTTCTTTACTCTTGTCAACTCTTTTCTTGCTTCCAATTTAGTTTCAAGAGTCCCTAGCTTCTTAATCTTTCGCAATAGCCATTCTAGTTTCTTATTATTTTTTTTTTTTATTATTTTTTTTAATTTTTTAATTTGTCATCTCTCTTTAATTTATTTTTCACTTGTTTATGTATTTTTTTTTGAATTCTTGTCTTTAACACTTCTACTCTAAGCCACCATTTGAACTAGCTAAAAATATTAATAACAAGCATTAGTTCTTCTAATTGATTCACTAATCTTTAATATTGAAATATAAACATTACTTAATACAATTAGATGTCTTTATTTTTAGCTACTAATTATATCCTCTCTATACAAGGGCCAATATTAATTCAAGACCTTCACAATTATCTTCAAAGATTCAATTAAAAGCCGTCTCTTATGATATTATCAAAATTTGGATTTCAGCAAAATTGATCTATGCCAATGAAAAAAATGCTCAGTTAATGAAAAAAATATTGATACATCTGGTTTATTGTGATTAACACGAGGTTGCAGCCTTACAAATAAAATATTTTGTTTCAAAAAAATCCAAAAATTATCAGATATTCTATTTTTTTGTTTTTTGTTTTTTGTTTTGTTTTGTTTTTTTTTTTTTTTTTTTTTCTCATTTGAAAGTTTTGTTGCTACTTTGTTGGTCATTGTCCTCAATATAAATACTCACCTACAATTATTTTGTCATTCCTTGATCATCATAAAATAAAGTGCTTAAACTCAACACATATCTTAAAACCCATTTATTTCCAAAGATTTTTTTTTTACATTTTGATCAATATTTCAACATACCATGTTGCTACAATAGCATAAGAATAGGAGTTTAGTAGAACAATGGTACAAGTACCAATTTTAGCCAATCTCCAATAGGACAAGGTGTTAGGATTTATCAAAGGTCACTATTGTAATTTCATAGTGTGTGGATGTTGCCGCAATTCTACTTAATGAATGCAAGAGAGAATTTTGGATGACAAGCTCAAATTCTTCTCTACTTAATATCTACAAGATATCAAGGTTTAACATTGTGGATTGGGCTTGCAACTTCTAAAGAGAATTGCATCAATTATTGCATTGGTAGTAGATTATTATTGAATCTACTTAATCTCTTTTTTGGGAGAAAAAATAAAAAGAAATAAAACAAAATGTACACATTGTGACAAAGCACTTCATCATTGCATAATATAAAACTAGTTTGTGGCATGAAGTTTTCTTGCATATAGACATACACTTTTTTTTATTTCAATAAAGAAGATAATCCCATACAAGATTTTTTTAATTCAAGTTACATTTTTTACACAAATTAACAATAAACAACAATTCAAAATTAAAGTGTAAAATATCTTAATTTAGAAAGAAATAAAATTCAATCCATTTTCACTTAACAAATTCCACAAAATCTCATATCAGGATTTTGAAAGAAATGAAATTAAGCCAATGTTCCGATGTTTCAAATTTTGGTATTATCAGATAATCACATAAACCAAATACAACATCAATCCATGAAAACAAACACAACAAATCAAATTTGTCCTAACAACATCAAATTTGTGCACAAACAATCCTATTCGGCCACCAGAACAACAGTAACATAACCCACCAAAAACAACTAATTTTTTTTTATTTGTTAAAAGGTGAAGTAGAGAAACCCTAATTTCACAAATTGCCGTGTTTCAGAGAATTAGGGCTGGAGGGACAGCAAAAACAGAGTCGTCGTCGCTCGATTGGCGTGTGATTTGCGGGGAATTTGGGTCCGAACCCCGTTTCTGGGTGTTGGGTGATCTCTGTTTCCTCACAATCGCATCGCCTTCGCGCCCTCAGTCGCAACGTCATTTTTACCCAGCGCGCCCCATTTTTGTCACTGCGAAAGCCATCTTCATCGCTGATTTGAGTGCCGCATCGTCTCAGTTCGTCTCCGTCTCGTCTTTTTGGTGGATCGATCAGCGTCCTCGCGAGACATTTTCCCTGCCCTGGAGATCCTCTTCAATCTGGTGCTATTCTTCGCAGACTTCTTCAACTGTTTTTCAGACATAGAGCTTTCTGCGAAGTTGGTGTCAAATCTCGTTTTTCTTGTGTCCGCCTCCTCGTTGCATTCAATCTAGTCTTTGTTTCCGTGTTTCTTGAGATTCTTGCAGGTTATGGAACTGGTGCGAAGGTGTTTCTGACGTGGTCTTGTGGTATCGGTTGTTATCTGTTGGCATGTTCTTGATTGCGAAAAGAGGGAGTAGGGCGTTGGTTTAGGGACAGGTAAGAGACGAGAAGCAAATCGGCCCAGAGACGCAGAGGGGCGGGAGCCATGGGGCAACAAGGGAGCAAGGATTCGGATGCTCCATCAGTGGTTGGCTCGTCTGTCAGGGCAGTGCGAAATGCAACAGGAGATGCGAAAGGGGTTGTAAAAGAAACTGCAGGTGATATTTTAATTCCTCGATTTTGATGTTGCACTTCTCTTCACGTCAAGGGAGCGGGAGCGTTTGTCCACGATCGCTAAGATTATTGAGGTTTAGAGTTTTCTTAAATCTTTTCATCATAATCGGTGAATCAAGTACGGAACCCGGCCATTTCTTGAACCCAGATTGGCACTACTATTTTCATTCTTCGTTAGAGTCACCGTGAAAGTCCTCGTTTCTTTCAACTCAGAGTGATTTTACTTTTACATTCTTTAATGAGCGTAGAGGAAGTTCTTGTTTCTTGACAGTACACAATTGTAACAGGTGCCTGAATCGTTGGTCTCTTAACCTCTTTTCCGGACTTTTTTTTGCACATGCACTTTTAGCTGCGAAATTGGTTCTTCTATAGTACTACACTGACATGGCAGAAAGCCGTCACATGGGACCGGGAACAGAGAAGGAGGGAATGAGAGCAGTGGGATCGGAATCTAGACAGGCTGTGTGGACGCAGAAGGAGAGATGGGGCAGGGTTGAGGAGGGTGACACTCTCTGGAGCTTGAGCGAGAAGTATCTCGGAGATGCAAGCCAGTGGGAGACGCTCCAATCTGCCTGCAGACGAGAGCTTGGGACCGATCCCTTGTTGCTCTTGCCTGGTAGCCATGTCACAGAAGCTTGCGTAGCCCGAGCACGAGCCATAGCAGAGAAACGATAACTCTTTGATTTGTTTTGCAATTTTCTTCAGGACTCGGTCCATTCTTGAACATCTTGCAATATTTCAGTGTTGATATGCCACGAGATTTTGTTGTAGACGTCCTCTCAGAGACCAATTTTGAGCAGTGGGAGCTTTGAACCTTTTTGTGAAGCATTCAATCAACACTCTGCCATGGTGCTTTGGAGCTCACAAGAAACACTTGGTGTCGGTACTAAACATTTGGCCCATTTATTGTGAAGTCTTGTTCAGCATGCAGGAATCAGATATGGAAGCTCTAATTGTGGTTACAATGCCTTCGTGCTCATAGTGCACGGAAGTTGGCGTAACCTCTGAATCCTTTATTAGATTTGGGGGGTATTCAACTCCTGAAACTCTTGCCGTGTGTTTTTTACAAGGTCACGAGTATTCACGACGCCCCCATTCTCATCAAAGTATAAGTTTTTTATATGTTTTCACTGTAGCACATCAGGGGATGTAGCTCAGATGGTAGAGCGGTAGGAGAGCAGAGCAGCGATACGGCGGTATCCGTGAAATCCGGAGCCGCACCCTAGTGATCCACAAATATCGGAATGTTTGATTGTTGAGAGATTTCATAGCACGATCGCTTGCTACAGTCGGAGAAACTTCGCAACAATTTGCAGATAGATTGGACACACGAATTGTAGACCCGAATTTCTTGGCACACCCAACTATTGTGCGAGTAAGGTAACCGGCAGAGTTAGAGCGTTCTAGGATTTCCAACTCCTACAACAGCAAAACTCAGCGTAGCTAGACACTAGTGCATTGAGAGACGTGGAGAAACAGGGTGACAGCTGACAACACCGAAAGACACGAGAAAGAGCCACCTGCGACCACAACAACATTGACCTCTCAGGTAAGTAATCCTTCCCTTGACACTCTATCTGAAATGCAAGAGAGTTTGGAATGTTTCGCCAGTCTCGATTCAAAGGAAAGAAGGTCCAAAGGGAGCTTTGAGCTCTTACCCTTCCAACCTGGAGACACGGGGGCATCCAGACCGACTTCACTTGAACAAAAGACGGATAATACAACGCCTCCAATACTCCCACATCTGAAGGACTTGACGAGGGATACACACAATATTATGAGTATTAAAGGGGACGCAAGACCACAAGGGATCACCAGCACGACCCCATGCAGGGCACCGACATCGAAACCATGGACCAAACACAAGATTCTGGGCATCCAACAACGGACCAAATCGACCACACAAACCAGTGCGCAACGTTGAGACGGAAGGTCGAGGAGCTTGTTCTTCACACCCTGGAGAAGCTCAGAGAATACATTCAGTCAAAGTGGGACATTGGGGAAGACTTTATACAATCAAACCCACGACTAGGATTAATACATCAATGCTCCGTAGACAGTGAACTAGAGCGGCTAGTGTCATAGATGAAATCGGACGTCGAAACTCTCCTTCAGGCGTACGGAATCGATTTTGTAACGATAGGAACCACAGCAACCCCGGAACCACCAAAGGCAACCACTATGTTGGGAGGCGGTTACTGAGATTCAATTCACCAGTGAACAGGGCAGAACACAAACTCTTAATAGACAATACAAGTTCAACAACCAAGATATTATGTTTACATTACGGTGCGCTGATTTTGATCCGGATACCAACTATGATCCAAATCCAACAAATTTTTCAAGCTGGGTACATTTGTGAGGCCTTAGACGTAGCTATTCAAGGAAGCCTTCAGCACTATCGGTGAGGTAACCGCTATTCACCCTTCAAAATATCCACTTTGTTAATTATATCATGTAGAAGCTACAAACACAAATTATCAATAAAAACAATAGATCCAATCCATTACACCAATGGAATGACACACATTGGATAGTAGATTGGAATATGCACAACAACAAACCACTCTGCTCATGGACAGTCATTATTCCCTATGACAAACAAATAACAACAATGAAGCATAAGTACAACTTCTGGTGGTAATTCTTCCTATTTTTTTGTTGGCAACAGCTCCAATTTGATATTGGATCAAAATAAAGCTATACCACAAGAAAATTGGAAAAATATCTTAGATTCTATGAAGAAAAAGGAGCTCATAACAATCGCCTATCCAACCCCATAAGACCACTTAGAACAAAAATAAGGGAATGACTACTCAATCATACTTCATGAATGATGGCCTAACATTGGCCTCATTTAATGTCTAGTGTCTTGGAAAAAGTCTAGTATGCATACAAAAATGTATAGAACTTTGGAACTTGATGTTAAACCTACACCCTAAACCTACTATAGCTCTACTATAGGAACATAGATTCTTAGAAAATGATTGTCTAGAGAAATCAACTTAGTTGGACTTCATGAAAGGCTTCTTATTATGGAATGCAGCAATTTAGTTAGTACTCAACAATACCCTTACCAATAAAAAACCATATTAATATGTGCAATAATATCACCACACATTCAAGATTATGGTGTCATCATTTCTAGATGGATATAATTTGTAACCTTTTATACAATATCCAATATGAGATTCAAAATCTTCAATCTATATGATTATAACCAATAGGATCTCAGACAAGATTATGGTAGAAAATTATCAATCATCCACTTTCAAATGCTCAATAGATTATAAGTGGGGACTTCAACTTTGTAGAATCCCTCGAAGATAAATAAGGTGGTAATGCCATCTTAGGATGTAACACAAGAAAAATAATTTCTTGAGGAACCTACTTACCAAATTACAAGTTCAACATATATTCCACATAAGCAAGTTTAGGAAGATTAACAATAAAAATTATACTTAGAATAACTACAGCGTGACTCCTAGAATGGTCCTAACATACATAGATAGAATCTACATAGGAAAAAAGCTACAAGATAGAAGAAGAATGTTTGAAATATGACTATTTTCAATTTGGTATCTATGACCAGTCATCCATCTTCATCAAAATTAAACTATCAAGTTGTCCACTATTCCACATACAATTCTTTAACAAAAACCAATTAATCACTATAAAAGGTCAAAAATTCCTCACATTATTATATTATGTATTGTCTTATTTGAGAATGCACTAGAGATTTGGCTATAGAAGGTGAAGTTGTGTTTTACAAGTATCCAAGAAATCCTAATAGATTTCAGCTATATAAGAAGAATGCAATGTATATTTTAATTCAAAAGTGCTTAAAGCTAATACAAAGTACTCAAAAACACTCTTTTTAATAACTTCAACCATAGACAAACTCCAACTACGTTACTACTTTCATAATTAGATATTTTTGATTTCTCTTTGTAAGCCCTAATTCTAGTCAATGAGCTATAGCAAGCTATAATTCGTACTTTGATTGTCTACTTAGAATAAAAAAATTTATACAAATACTACTGTAAGTCTTATATATGCTCATAAAAATTTAGTTCAATCCAACTCACAAATTGTGAAAAAAACGTCTATAAAACCACACTAATGTCACTTAGCTATCAATTTGAAAGATGATATAGATGTTCTACTAGCGGTTTCTATTTTTCTAATTATTAGCTCAAATTTAAAATTAATATATAACTTGATGTCTAAGTCTTCCGGTACTATGCTAAATTTTATTTTTTTTCTAATTAATAGATCTTCAAATATCATAGAAATCCTACTCAACTCCAAACTATCAACTTCTAATAGGTTTTTTTTACTAAAAACCAAACATCTCTCAATTATATCAATAAATTAACACAAAATTTTATGCACATTCAATCAATCAAGTGCTATTGTATTATAATTATTTATTATATGTAAAAATTAATTAAATCATATAATATATTTATAAATATTGATGTACAATAGAGTGGTTAGTAGGTTAATTTTAAGAGAATTGATGTAAGAAAATTTATTTTAAAGTTTACTTATGTTGATTATAGTGTTTAAATTTTATAAGACTTAGATATTTAGTATAAAATTTAAAGAGAAGATTACGGCTCAAAGATGAAGATCCAAACCTCTAAGAAATTTATTTGGAAGTATGAAAGCAAGATATGGATAGATGAAGGAAAAACGTAAAGATCTTTATCCCTATTGATTGAAGGCCATGCCTAGTAGGCATTCAGGAAGTTGTTTGCAACCATAACCCGAGTTTTGCCAACTTCAAAAGTAGCATTTGAGAATAAAAAATATGAGGTTACAAGGTTTAGGATTTGGATTACAATTTGTGTATAAATTTTAGAGATTTTGGAGTTAGGATGATGAAGTTATAGCCATTCAAAGTTAAGGTATCTTTCTAAGATATACTGAGAAGTAGACTGATGGTTAGGTAGTTTAGTTGGTAACAGTAGGTTCTTAGTGGAATAAATAATTAAGAATTCAAAGGATCATAACCTTTGGAATCTGATGGCCGACGGATCATTTTTTTGGTAGGATAAATAGGTTGAGGAAAGAGAGATCGAGAGCCAAACTAAGAGTCGTAAGCTGATAGCGAGACTAAGAGTCGTAAGCCGAGAGCTTGACTGAGAGTCGTAAGCCACGAGCCAGACTGTGAGGGTCGTAAGCCGGGATAAGTTTGATGCTACTTCTTTGTTTTCTTTATTATTTGCTTATAAAGAATTGTGATTGAGAGAAGTATTATTGAATTGATAATCGTAGAATGGATAATGGGTTGAATTAAGACGGAAGTTGTAAGCCCCGGTGTTTTATAGTTTGATACTTGATTTTAGATAGCCAAAATATAGTCAATTGTGACACTAACAAACCCAATTTATACAACCAATCTTTCTCCGTGTTCGAACCCACCTCTATTAATTCAATTGCTTTGGTATATTGAAGCTTGAATACAATGAAAACAACATTTTGGCATCGCTGCTGAGGAAATAATAACAATATGAAATGTTAAAAATTGATTGTATGGAAGATGGAATTATATGTTGAATGAGAACGTGAAAAGAACTAGTTTTGAGATCACAAATATGTAAGTTATAATTCAAGACAGTATTGATTTTGTAAAGAAGAATGGAAGATTATGAATAATAGTCATGGAGGGAAGGATTATCAAAGAATTAATCGACAAGAAAAAAAAAGACAGGAGCGATTACACATAAGAAATAGCCTACAGGAATGATACAAAAGAATTACAAGTCCAAGAAAAACAAAAAGAAGAAAAATTCAAATTCATATAATAAAGAGACCAGTGATAACACCAATGGCCGCGGGAGTGTCAGAAGTACCAATTGCAGTACAAATGGGAGCAATAGGAGACCGAACTACAAGTGTGGCACCATTACCTATTTTTAGTGGTTGGCCAAGCTTTGATCTCGATCACCATATATTTCAATTCTTGATAGCTTGCATGGCTAATAATGGTAGAACTGAAGACATTTGATTGAGATAGTTTCCAGCAACTTTAAAAGATACAGCTTTTGAATGGTGTATTCGGCAATCAATGGATAGATTTCACAATTCGGAGGCCTTGAAGAATGCCTTCCTAACCCATTTTAGACTAATTGGATTTGAAGATCGGCTTCAAGAAAGTTTTATGAATAGCAGGATGTTTACAAAGAAATCCGTAGAGTCTTATTATGGCCAAATCATGGATATACTTCGTAAATGGTCAAATAATTAAATGCCAGATGCATTTATATTATCGATATTAATTAACGGTTTGCATCCACCAAAATTAAAAATATTTGTAAAAGATGCTCGATCAGCTACGGTAGAGGTATCGTTGGTACGAGCAAAGGTGTGGAAAGAATGTCATTATGACCAATTGTTAATAGTGGGAGCCACAATGATTCCAAGTTCAGGAAGCCAACAAATACAACCGACAAATGTATCGATGGGTAATTATCCACAAATGGCTGCCTCCAATGTGAAGAATGTTATGTTGCAACAACCAATTAATACTACACGACTCCAAGTAATAGCGCTAATAATGATGACATCTTATTTTACATCACCAACCTATCAACAACCACAGTTGTTTACAAATGCGACTGTTAAAGATCCAAATGAAGCCTTGTTATTAAATCTAACAAAGAAGATGGAAGAATTGGTCATGAATTTAGCTAAAGACAAGGAGAAATGACATAAATCTTCTAATACGAGACCTAATGTATGATGTAATAATTGTAAGGAACAAGGTCATTTTGATACGGAATGTCCATCACTTAGACAAATGGATGATCAATGTATATTTTGCAGAGGAAACTATCCTACCCAAAACTGGTGGCATTTACAAAGGCAACAACAATTCAGTAATCAGACCATGATTCCATCGACTCAGTGTGAAGTCAATCAAGTTTAAACGAGAAATACGTATGGATGGAATGGAAATCGATCTAAGTGACAAAATTGAACATTCAATATTTTTTAAAGTTCCAATTTTAATTAGAGGTTTGCATCAAATCCCCAGAACTACGGGAAGGAGCAGCAAAGGTATCAGCAATATGCTCCATCGACATCATGGAATCAAATATCCTACGTACCAACGGGATAACTAGGATCATTTTCTAACTCTATATGGAATAAGCCTAGTAGATATATATCGGTGGAGACACCTAATATGTCGGATGGGGATGCAAGAAGACCACTTCGTTGTTTTCGTTGCAGAAAGATTGGTCATTACGCCAGTGAATGTCATAATTCCAGAGCCAATGACGATTATATGCAAGTATATGCAAATTGTAAGTAGTCGAGACATACTTATCAACAA